GTTCATCCCCACACAGGCATTATTCAAATGAAAGGCTGCCTGTTCCCCGGAGTGGATCCAACTTGAACCAGGCAAGTCTTGCTCTGGGACTCCAGCTTCCTGTGCTAGTCAGTGAATTACACTGGAAATTATGATGAATGTGAATTAAAATATTCTGTGAAAACACTCTGAAAAGCTCTTCTTCATCAGCTGAATGTCAGCAACAGGGCAATGATCACGATAGTAAATCTGATTCTATGCTCCAGAGGATCCAGTCAGTTCTCTAATGCCTTTCTGGAGAAGCTGCTGTCCCCAAATCAAGACAGTTACTTATTTGTGCTCCATTTGGCAAGGGTCAGACTGGCCAGGCATTCTGTTTCCTTCTAAATCACCCCTTTCAAAATAGGCTTTGATTTGCCGTGTTCTGAGTGTCTTTATGGCTCCCTATTGATTGCTGAGAGAGTAAAAGATTTCCTTCCCAGACTTCCATCACAAATGGCCTTGCCTGGAGAGTATTCTGATACTAACAGAGGAATTTTGTCCTTGTTGTCTTCACTCTAGAGCACTTCCACAGATCAGGAAATACGAAGTTATTATCTCTCATTACAACGAAGAACTTTTTTCTTCATAAACTGACACCAGCGTACGAAGTCCATAGGTCAACTCAGCTTTTTCCCAGACATTCCTTAGTTTGCAGATTTTTCACGTATCCACTCACCTGAGTGTCTTCTTCAGCATCTCCTTCCTGACTGAATCCTCTTCCTTGGATTCACATCTCCTGGCCTTTGCAGTCACTTCATTTTTCTTCTCCATTATTTCCACTATAACTTATGAAGATCTATTTTGTTTTGTTTCCTACCTGCTGCTATTCTTTTCACTCAGTAACTTGCTTCTAAAGAGCAATAAGAATGGAAATTAAAATGTACCTTGTATTTTCCTAAGAAGCATCCAAAGGTGCAATGAGCAGCTACCTTAGTAAAACTGAGCAAGCTACTGCTACCTTGAGCCACTCTGCAGTCCCGTGCTACCCCTCTTTAATGGGAATTAAGAGGTCATTGAGGCTCAGAGACAGCCATGAAGTACAATTGAGGCACACATTCCAGAAAAATACAAAATGTGGTAACAATTCTGTTATATGTTTTTGCTCCAAAAGTGTACCTATTTTCATAATGATCCGTCCTGTTTTCAGCTGAGGCAGCACTAACAGTATACTGGTGTTTTCGTTATTGATGGGTATGCACCCAGGGCTGGGTCAAGCCTTAGCAAGAAAGAGCTATCACCAAGAGGGCACAGGGGACAGGGTAGAACCAGGGCAGGCAGCCTGAATTAGGCCAGGAGAAGACCATAAAGCTTTGGGGAGTTAAACCACAACATTATCCTTGCTGTTTCTCACAGGGTAGTAAAATATGGATAAGTTGTGGTAAATCTCATCCTCAAGGCATAGATTTGGCAGAAAGGTAATAATTAAAGATAATCAGATGACAAATTGTGTGTTTCTGTTTAGCTATCCAGGATGAGCAGGATATCTAAAGCTGCTTAACAAAGCACTAGTTTTGCAGCATTCATAATCTGCTGATAGAGATCTAGTCATGCCATACCACTGAAGCCTTGATTTTTAGAACAGGGTTAGATGTGTATGTGGATAACCGCTAATCACTAGCAGTTACATTAGATACATTTTTGTTTTGTTTTGCTTTAAGCAGGGATACACAGCTTCTCTGGGCAAGGTAAACATGAGCAAAGGTAGGAAGAAATTTCAGCATAGTTTCAGTTCTGTCACAGAGCACAGGTACTGACCTTGTGCTTGAAACCAAGAAGGTAAGTGTGATGGCACCCTTCATCACCGAGGACCTTCAGGTTCTGACAGGGTGGGGACTGCTTGCCTTCATTAACCTGTGATACTGCACTTCTGTCAGCAGCCTGATGTGTCTTCTCCTCCATTGTAACTTGTGCTTCCTCTAGGAACTGCTCTTAAGCCCATTTTGCTTTTCAGTCAGGATTCAGCTCTGGTCCTCAGATATGCATGGAGGTGGCTTGACACATCACAAGGTGATAAGTCAGGCTACACGTCTGGTAGCTTGGCTGGCTGACTCAGCTCCTCTGCCTCTCTCACAGTCTCCCAGGCTGGAGCATCCCATGGGCTGTGCCCAAGCTCTGGGGAGGCCAGCACAAAGCCCTCACCTCACCCACATGGGCCTGGCCAGAAGCTGGACATCTCCTCCCAGCTGCTGTCTGCATGGCCTCTGTGGCTGGTGGTAACAGGGCAGGCAACACTGTCTGATTCATCCCATTTAATCCAGGAATAGTGGTTAGTGGGATGAATCACCGTCTGGCACTGCCTCCATTGACTGCAGAATGAATTAGGCAATGAACTTAGGTGAGATGTTTCATCCCTAAGAGAACTAAAATTAGGTTCAATTAATCCCACCATGTTTTGCAGTGTGATGAGGAAGGCTAAAGATGGCACATTATTTGTAGAGAGATACTTTTACTCACCTCAGTAAAATAAAATCACTTTGTCATTTGTTTTCCAGCTGTGCTATTTGTTCGTACGTGTGGATTGCTGTTTTCTAATACTGCAGGTAAAATGAGAGGAGACACCTAAACCACTGATGCAATATTGCCAATTGTTTGTATCTTATTTCTGGCTTCTAACAGTATGTGCTATTTCTTGAAGCCTTAGGCATTGAAAACAAATGAGAATATCACCTTTCTTTTTTATTATAAACCAGAAGTTTATACTTCTAGTCATCTGGAAAACAAGTGTAAAAAAAGCAAGATTTGAGAGTTCTATGCAAGCCAAATAAAAAACAGCAAAAACCCACAACAAAGGCAAGTAAAGACTATAAAGACTACCCTGCAAATACTGAATAAGAACTACTGTCCTTCATGTCCTTCATGACACGTATGTCATGAGTTATGCTCATGACATATATGTTTACAAAAAAAGCAGAACGGTCCCTGAGATTACTGTAAACACAAACAGTTTAAAAAAAAAGGTCTTGAACTGTAGTATCCATTATGGCACAGTCAATGAATGGCACCAAAAACATTAGCTTTGCATCTGCTCCTTTATGAGCCAGACACTCTAGGATTTCCATTCTATTTTTTCCACACACAAAGCCCATAGGCAAAACTGAGAGTCCATCTCTGACTGCTGCTTTGTAATTGAGCTGTTGTGTGAAAGCAGGAGAGAGCTCAAAAAGGTCCTCTGGCCTTCTGTGCTTCCCTGCAGTGCAGCCAGTGGGGTCCTAGGACACACAGAAGAGTCATGCAGTACTGGGCAAGACAAAATAACCCTGCTTTGACTTGTTGCCCCTGTAGTTACCAATTCCTTCAGGGAATCCTCAAGGCTCTATTAGCTGCAGGTGAAAGTCTTCACCTCTTCCACCACAAAAAATCCCCCCAAAAGATAATCTACTTAATTTCATGCACGTGACTTACTGTTCAGTCCAACTCTTGAGGAAGCCAGTAAAAGTTAAGACTTGAATAATAAGGAGGATTAATCTAACAGTGTATCTTTTATTTTAAAGGATGAATTAAGATGCCACAACCACCCTTGAAGCAAGTAACACATAGCAGTGCAGTTCTCAGAAGCAAAGTGCCATAAGAATGAAGACACTGGAGTGGGAATTCAAAAGGTTTTCCTTACATTTTACTGACTTCTAAATAGAGGTGCAGGTACTTATCATTATCTTAAAACGAAACTGGAGAACTACTTGGTGCACACCATAGAATCATAAAATCTTTTGATTTGGAAGAGACCCTTAGAGGCCAGCTAGTCCAAGTCCCCTGCAATGAACAGGTGCACCTACAGCTAGATCAGATTGCTCAGAGCATTGTCCAGCCTGACCTTGAAGGATCCATGGATGTGACATCCACCGCCTCTCTGAGCAACTTGTCCCAGTGCCTCACCACCCTTATTGTAAAAAACTTCCTGCAGCCTAAATCTCTCCTCTCCTACTAGTTGGAGAGTGAGCAGGACTCATGTCTTGACAGTTGATTTCTGTCTTATTTGAGCATGCCACTGCGATTCTAGACTTAGTTAAGCAGTGGTATTTGAAATGGACTCATTCTGCTTCACCTATTGTGGATGACAGAGAGCTTAAATCGTCTTAGAAACATTCTGAAATTCTGCAAAGCGAGGAATTATACATGGCTACGAATGATGACTAATATTATTCTGAGTCACTGACTGTGTTACCAAAGATAGTTTTAGTAAAATGAATATGCAGAAAATAAGGCTGATCCTGCAAAACCCACAGATCTTCCACTGTGTATGCTCTGCATATGAGCACACCGAATGGTGCACTGGGATTTTCCCAAGCACCCCACCACTGCCTGCTCCAGCCTGCTTCAAAGTGATGCAAAATGCCCAAGCCAGGCCATGGTTGAGGGCTTTGGATGTCTTGCTGTGTCTTCTTGTTATGTATGAAAAAGCAGAAGGGCCTGAAAGAGAAAAGAAAAAGGAATCTTGCCCACAGTCAGAGGAAATGTTGGGCCGTGATGCTCTGGCTGGCCATGTTGCACTCAGAAGCACTGATGGATGTCAAGCCAGTGAGCTAGCCATCTGGTACCCACAGCGTGCTGCAGCAGGAAGAAAGGAGAGCTGTTCTCCAGCAGCGCTGTGGCCAAGCAGCCAGCAGCAGTGACAACCAGGGAAATGTCCTTATTCTTTTGGCAAAAGCCTCTCTGTGCATCCGTATGTCTGTTCCCTCACCCACCCCCTGTCTGAATGAGAAATCAGAGCCTTCCTGACATGAGGCAGCACGTGCCAGATGCTGAGCAGTCAGCAAGGCAGATGCTGCCAGGGGGACAAAAGAGATAATCATATAAATACTTAAAAGCTCTTTTTAATCAAAGTGCTCATTGTCCTTTTTAAAAGGAAGGTACTTTTTAATAGACATTTAATTCATTTTGAAGGCGAGGAAAGGGCGGAGGTAATATTTCTTTATGAGCATGAGATATTATTTTCCTTTCATAAAACATAATAACTTAGTTGAAACTTTTTATTTTCACAGTGATTTTTCCCCGAGGGAGCTTATGAGGTGAGAAAATTTGGGGCTGACTGTCTCCAATATTTGCTTTTATTATTCATTTCTGTATTTATTTCTAATATTTCTAATGAAGGGCATATAGATTATACATTTTTCTTTACTGCATATGCAGCAAAGCTAAAGGGGAAGCACTTGCCTCTCCTAGAAGAGGAACAGCTGCTTTTGGGAGCCGCAGTACTAGCTTTGCCTGCTGCTTTGTCTGCTGCATGGAGGAAAGGTAGAGGGATGGCAGCAGGACGTGACATCCCGGGTTGAAGTGCATGCATGCTCCATCCCAGCCCCTCTGCCCTCTCTGCTCCCTGTGAGGATGCTGGCACTGATCACATGCCCACCATGGTCCTAGGGGCTGGTACCATCTGCACTGAGACTGATGAGTTGGGCTCTGCATGCCAGTGGTGGGCAGCACAGGCAGTGCCTGGCCCACTCAGCTGATGTGGAAGTAATGACAGGGGGAGAAACCTTGTTTTGTCATTTTCCTGAGCATGTCCCAGATAAATGCTTCCCTATCTCCTCTCGTTTGTGAATGCAGCGTTCATGATGGCCCCTACAGCAAATCCACCACTGGCGGTGCCAGTTTCTGTGCACGGCTCTGCTCTGAGCCCTCCCTCTGTATCTGAAGGGCCCAGCCACAGTCTGCTAAAGCATCTTATTTCTGGTATGTAAATAGCATGAGATCAGTGTCGTCTCTCACATCGCACAGCCTATGCACTAAGCATCTCTTTACTGTGGCACAAGCAATTCAAAAAGGTGAAGCTGGCTTAACAGGCACAGACAGACCCAGTGCTGAATCTCTTACTCTAATTTTGTTTCCTCTAACTCAGAAAGCAAGGCCAGAATTTCACCTGGTGGTGGATTTTGCCCAGCTCAAACAACAGCATTCAACATGGCCCAGGATGATTACTCAGCAGCATGTCCCACATGCGTCACAATTCTGTGACTGGTAGCTGCCAGATTGTGCCTCTGGAGAGGGCAGAAACAGGCAATATTTTAGAATATTTCTGTCTTTGGGAGAAAGCAGACATGAAGCATGCAAGAGGCAACGTCCCTGGAGAGGACAGGTTAAACATAGCAATGTCCTGTTTTGGCTTGGACCTTCAGTGCACACTCAGTGCACACTTACTAGCCATTACCTCAGGATCATTGAAGTTGGTCCCCTATCCACACAAAGTGAAGAAAAACAAAGCAAGTCAGGAAGTGGAGAGAAGCCAGGCTGTTCTCATCCTGGTGAGAGCTGAAGCACACAAACACTGACAAAATCCTCTGTAGGAATCACAAGAACTTGTAGCAGAGGCTATGCATTCATGCTATTCATTCCAATTTGAATGGGCACTTGATCCTCTCCTGGCAAGCAGGGGATGTTGAGTGGTGTGGTGAGGTCACTGCCAGGTCTCTGGGGCTCCGTCCATGTGAGAGAGCTGTGCACTGGAATCAGCCTCCAGGCTTTCAGCCATCACAGTTCAGGTATCTTCACAATTCCCTTCTGTGTATAGGAGGTGCCATCCAGCATACAGCCACAGTGCAGGAAAGTATTAGAAAAACACTGGCTGATAAGAATAGTTAGCATATTGATCAATTGCTGCTTGATTTCATGCACAACACACGCGTTTCTGAGGTATTGCCCCTCCCAAATTGCTTAAAATCCATGTGAAAAACAATTTGAAGAAAGTTCACTAAAAACCCTGTGTTTCATTTCTCTTCAGAGCTAGCAACACTAACAATTGAAAGCTGTTTGTCTTTCTGTGCAAATCTCGGGTAAAGAGATCAGCTCCTTTCATTAGAGACCATGAAATAACATGCATCAAACTTTCATGTGGCAGAACACTGGTAACATCTGAGCCCTCCAGTAAGTATGAAAGGAGATCTCCTGCCTTCAGTGAACAGCCTGGTTTGAAAAAGTAACTAGAAGCTGCAAGGTGCCAGGTATTGAAAGAGAATCCTATTGAACATAAGCAGACAGCAGTTCTCACCAAAACTTTCACACTGGTGGTCCTTTCATGCCACTCACCCATGCTTTTATTTGCACACCAGTGGGAGGAAAGCGTGAGCACTCCCTGAGGGGAAAATCTCTTGGTGGCTTCCTGCAGGGTCAGAAATTCATGTCAGTGTGAATGCTCAGGGATGGATCTTGAGTTATTTACCACTACTGATCTGTACAATCAATGCAACTTTTGTTTTCATTCATGAAGCCTCCACAAAGAGGAAAAGTCTTTTACGAGCATTTTCTTTCTTTTTTTTAAGTTTGTATGACTCCATGGTTTGTTTTAGCTCTAATAGCTCAGAGCATTAGAAGACGTTTGCTATAAACCTGTGACCAAAGCTGTCATCCAACTTCTACTTTGGCTGGGACAATCAAAGAATTACAAACAGGGCTGGTGTTTTCTCTCATTTACTACTTACTGTCAAAGATTTGCAATCACAGAGAAAATCTAGTATGAATTTTATGAAATATTTAAAAATAGACAGGGCACTACTGTCTAGGCCCAGCTTCTTACACTGCTGGTATTTTTGATGTTTTGATTTCTATCAGTAATTCCACAAGTCAGAGCGCATCCATGCCTGTAAAAGGCAAAGGAAAGGACTAGAGGTACAGCAACAGCAGCTTTTATTTTCACAGGCAATTGTGAATACTTATTTGTTGCATTAACAAAAGATCTTCTTTCTTGCCAGCTAAACAGAAGATGGCAAGATGTAAGCTCTCAAAGCTTCCCCTCCTTGCTCTCTTGATGGTTAAGCACGCACAACCCACACGCATGGTGGGGGCAAATGCACACAGAATCATCAGTTCACCTGATAATCCACAGTTCCTACTTCCCCAAACAGCACCAATGAAATGTCACTGACTCTTAACAGCCTGACACAGACCTCACAGTCTTTCCATCAAAGTCCCATTACATTCACTGGGAGCTGGAACAAATCAGACTGTTCCCTGCAGTTGGCATCCCTTCACAGTTCTGAAATAACATCTCTTACGGCTTGTTTTCAGGTGCTGATGTTCAAGCCAGTGCAAACACAAAGACTGAGGATTCTACATATCTGCAGCAGCATATCTGATATTCATCTGTTCCTTCCAGTAGAAGCCAGCTGATTCATGCTTCATTAACCTGCACAAAATTTGCAGTCTTCCCTCTATCCCTAAGCAATAATTAACAGCTGAGTGCTGTAATGACTTCATGTTTTACTAAGACTTCATTTTTTACTAAACACAAAACAGCACATTTACTAGCACATTATGGAATATTACTATCAATAATTAAAAACTGAACTACAACTGTCCAAATAAATGAAAAGAGCATATTTTATAACTGATGCTTCTTGCTCTTATATTGCACTTAGTCACTTCCTAATTTGCAGCAGCTAGTGATTCACTGCAAATTAACATTATTCTAATGCGCATATGTTTTAGGAATGAATCTTTAAACATCTGTTCTTTCCCTCTCTTTGCTAAAGGTACCTGGGAGTGCAACTGGGAGGAAAAGTGATCAGTCAGCAGAAAAAAATGAAATATAAAGAGACACACAGGAGCCACACAAAACAAGCAGGGAAAGTCCTGCTTCACCTGTCAATAACTATCAGGAAGCAACAGAAGATATTTTGATTTGCAGGGTTTCCAATTGGGACCAAAAGGGTCATTAGTGCTGTGTTTATAAGCCAAAGGATTGTTGAGGGACTCTACACTTGCTTAGGACAGGATCTGACTTAGCCCAGTTTAGGCAGAAACATGTAGATTAACACATTGTGTTGAGAGACAAAGGGTGAGACAGAAAAGGAGATTGATAATCATAATTAAAAATCTATGAAACACTCATAAATGATGCTTTGTTATCGAGGTAGGTTGTACAGTCTCTGTGCCAGTGGAACTTAATAGCAGGTCATTAGCCATCAAATCACTAATGCTGATTTTAAATCAAATAACTTCTCTTTAAGATTCATCTGTATGAACTTGAGTGTCTGAAAAATAATTTGCTACTTAATCATTAGACCAATTAGGGGTTACAGGTTAAATATGCTGGGTAAAGGAGAGACAATTTTCCGCAAGACAATAGGCCTGGTTCTGATTTCCTTTACCCAGACAGCCTTCACTACATCTGATATCTGATGTTAGACCAGTTAGATCAGAATTTGGCCTAACCTTTCAGATTATCGTTTTTTCACCCAGTGTATAAGCAGCAGAAAACCTAATTAGATGTGATTGGCTGCTCTGACATACTATTTTAAATGTGAGTTTTTCAAGGTGCATGAAAGTGAGAAAACCAAAGCAGATTAAATTAAAAACTCATGGCTTTCTTTTTTGCCTTGCAGTGTATTTATATATATACACACCTTCCTGTTTATATTGCAAAAATAGATAAAACTGATGAAAATCAAATCAGTTCCTGGCTAGCACTTTAAAGGCAAGTTTGAGCCTGGAGGAAGTTTCACAGTTGAGGGAAATGGAAGGCTGTGTAACAGCAGTACTGCTGACGCAACATTTAGAGCCAGAGTGCTGGCAGTGCACAAGGTCTTTTAGCCTGAAAAGAGGTAAAAAAAAATTGAAGGCAGTTTGTTTTCAAAAGCATCACTTTGCATCTTATCATGGGTAGGTTCCAGTTATAGGGATACATACTTGTGCTCCATGATCTCTCTTGCCCCTTTTAACACTTCCTAACCAGAATACAGGTTGGAAGAGGGCATAGTTATACGTGGTTATATAGGAAAGCATGATGGGTGGCAGGGACATAGGAGAAAACTCACATGAATTTAAAGTGAGACCTGTGAAGAGCCCATGGTGAAGCATTACACTGCTACAGCATGTGTTGAGGTAACACTAAAAACCATTCCCACATCACTGCTCAGCAGATCTTGTGAACCACAGCAACATCAGCCGCACAAATCCCCACTGCCCACTGGGCTTACTGCTGTAGTTCTTCGTGGTCATTTCCCACCATTATTTGCTTGTATCTGAAGCACATTCATGAAAAGCATAAGGAAGAAAATGAACCTGACCCACAGCA